AGCTCACGGCACCCATCGCACACCCCCAGCTGAGCAGCCAGGCAGTGAAGACCCTTCCTCCCCACCAAAGCTCCATGTGTTCCTCCATGCAGTCCCCGCGCAGGTGTGAGAGCATGGACACCCCCAAGCAGAGAAGACACCCTCAGCTCCTCCCGTGCATGGAAATCCACAACAGGTTTGTCCATAAATCAGGCAGAAACGTGCCTGTGTTTTGCAAAACAACAACCCTCAAAGCTCCCAAAGGCCATGTGCCTCTGCCCTTACAGTGCTTCCATTTGGGATGCTGTTAGGACAGCATGGACTAAGCCATAGGGGATGTATTCTGCTGCATGCCAAAAGCAGTCCAGAGCAGTGTGGTTTATCCATCAGCTGCTGGCTGTGGGAAGAGTCAGCAAAGCTCCTCCAGCCAGTGAGGACAATCCCTGATGTCCAAGTGTTGTCCCCATTGCTGATCACAAGAGCAGAGTGATGGAGAGCGGGAGCAACTGGTACGCAGCACCCCTGCCTGGATGCCCTGCTCCAGGCTGAAATTCCCTTCCAAAGGATGCTGGGCTCTTCGATTGAAAGACCTCTCACCAAACAGGTCACAGTAGTTTAATAAGAACATTTTTAATTAAAAAACACTCCCTGCCCAATCACAAAAAACTCTTTGGCCATAACGTGAACTCGTTGAGGTGAGGAAGATGATGTTTAAAGACAGACCTGGGGCTCTGGGGACAACTCTGGCCTCTGGCTCTTATCCCAGCCCCTGCATGGGCTTTGCACTGACATGTCCCTGTGGAAGGGATGTAAAGGCAGCTGGGGTCATGAAGCCTGGTCATGCCTCCCTCCGTCCCACTCTTCCCCAGGAGAGGAAGAGGTAAAAGCAGCCTTTGCTCCTCTCCCTCTGCTCTCCACACCTTTTCCCACCCCCTTCTCCAACTGAAAGTATAAAATCCTTCAGCAAAGAGGGTTTAGAGTCAAACCCAGCTAAACCAGACCCTGCTCTAGCATCACACTGGTGCAGACCAGGAGCTCAGGCCTCTGTTTTCTCCTGCCCCTCCCATCTTTTTGCCTGAGCACCACTTTTTGGGGACACCTCATAAGCAGAAATGACTCCGTGATGACAAATCCAGGTGGTTTCACACTGGGCAGGTGTCAGAGCAGCTTTTAATGCGGGTGCTTGGCACACCTCGGCACACGTACAGGGCAGGCGTCCCTCATGCTGGGCCGTGTGTCATGGCTGGTGTTGGAGGTAGTTTGCCAGCACCGCTGGGATCTCCAGCTTCCCAAGGGAGTGCAGGTGGGCAGCCGGCTTCAGGAGGCGCCTCATGGCCAGCCGGGACTGAGCCATCAAGGATTTGGGATGAGCTGTGCAAGGAGAGGAGGAAAAAGGAGATAGATGGTCACCTTCAGGACATACAACCCTGCTCCCCTCCAACACAGGCACGATCCTAAGCAAAGGACAATAACAACAATGACAATTATAATAGCAATAATAATAATAGCAATAATAATTTAATAAATTAATAAACCCCAATATCTTTGCTAGGGCTGGTTACACCTTGTATTGAGCCCCAAGCTTGTTTCATGGGAGCTGGGCATGCAGAGAGGAATCTTCCACCCTCGTATGGAACTAAGTGCAGTTGTTCTGGACATCGGCAGTACAGGAGAGCCAAAGCTGACCAGTAGAAAGGAGGTGAATGGTGAAAAGCAGCCCCCAACCCAACAGATGAGGGTAGCATGTGTATCAAGCCACAGCCACTGGTGCTAGACCTGTTCTCCATAAACTTGTGATGTTCTTCTCTTGCTCTGTTCAGAATTGGAGACTTAACTTTTTGACCCGAGCACAGCAATCACTGGGGCAGAGTTCAGAGAAGAGCAGTGATAACACTCAAGAGTTTAACAGACCCATGCAGGCAAGTGATGCTGCAAAGGGAGCTGAGGCTTGTAGGAAGCAAAGTAAAGGGAATGTGAAGGAGCTTGCACCCAAACAAGGAGAATGAATCCTCACTTCCAGCCCCGGGGCCACACTCACAGGTTACCTCTCGCCTGCAGCAGCAGCTCCAGGCCCTCGCTGTGGGGTGCTGCCTCATGCACTGCGATGTTGGGCAAGTACACGTTGGCTCCAAAGTCAATGAGCAGTCTGATGAACTCGCTCCTGCAGCCGTGCCTCAGGCAGGTTTCCAGCAGAGTCTTGGGCTCCTTGATGTGGGCGATCACGCTCTCCTCGGTGCAGTTATAGTTGGGATCAGCCCCGTAAAGCAGCAGCCTCTTGAAGCACTCCAGGTGCCCGTATGCAGCAGCCAGGTAGAGGGGACCGGAGCAAGCCACCGAGTTGGCCAACCACTGGGGCAGCCTGGCCTGAACGTTGGTTTCCGCGCCGTGGTCCAGGAGCTGCTGCAGGATGTCCACGTTCCCGTCCCGCGCAGCGATGAGCAGCGGGGAGCAGTTGTTGTAGATGCTGCC